CCCGTCTAATCCCGCTTAACCCGCGGCCGAATCCGGCGTAGTGGCCCCCCAATTGGGCTTCACTCTCTCGAATCCTTCCGACGAAGACCTCCCAGTAGTTTGCCTCCTAAAATCTTCGGGAGGCGGGAGTGGCAGGCAGCGAGCGGTCGCGGCGGCACTGGCGCGATTGCGTGGCCGGGGCTGGCGCCAGTGTTTTTTTTGGCGCGGGCCCCTCACGGGGCGACGAGCGGCGCGAGACTCGGGCGGACGACGGTGGTTCCCGGGGGTCGAGCGAAATTCAGGGGCGACGATACAGTGGAGGCCCATGCCAAGAAACTCCCTGCTTGCCTCCAGGGTGCCCTGGTTTTCGATGGCTTTGCGATTTAAAGCGTGACGTTCCCCCCCCACACACGCACACACACACACACACACACACGCACACACACACACACACACACACACACACGCACACACAAAAACAAAAATGGACGTCCTGGCTGAATATGGTGTCCCAGGGGCTCGAGCTAAAATCAGGGGCAACCACAATAGTCGAAGAACAAACGGCATGACCATAAACTTTTGGCGCTCCGCGCGAATATCTTAGATCCGCGCGCCGCCCCTGGCGTTCGCCCGCCAGGGAGGGGGTCCAGCGCAGATCCGAGAAATCATCGCGGAGCGCCAGAAGTTTCTGCTTGTTCAATTTTCTCTCTTCCTAAATACGGGGCGATGGGCCGAGGGGGGGATGCATGAACCAGCAATGGCCCATTCATCGCCGATAGGGGGCTTGGTAACCCACCCCACCCAGGAACGTGCGGATTCGCAGCAGGGGGCCTATCGCCAGTCTATCGGCGATGTATTGCCGAGTGCAGCTCGATGTCTCCCCCCCCGAACTGGTCCCCTCTTATCGTTGCGCCCCTCAGACATGCTGTCTGGGCGATTTCGTGCACTGCTTTCGTTGTCATCCAGTTTGCAGCAGGGGCGGAGCGAAGCTGGCGCGAGGGAGAACCAACACAGAACGCACACGGAAAGCACGGCTTAGCTCGCGCCTTGTGGTGGTTCTGGGGTTGTGCGCGGTTCGAGTGGTCCGGCTGCGTCGCAATTGTTTGTGTTTCGGGGGCGTCCACGAGGGGGGCGATGACCAGGGCTGGGTGCTGCGGGGGGTGGTCCTGGCCCAATGTGCTGCCAGCTCTTCGCGCCACTCAGGGGCCATCTGGATCTGGTTGTCCAGGAGGGGTGCTCTGGAAGCCATCTGCGCCTCCCCGGCCACTTCTGGTAACAACCGATAAGGGGAGCAGGACATCGTGGCCGGGGCAATGGTATCTGGTACCCCCTTTGGTTTATTGGGCTGTCTTCTTCGTCTTCTTATTATCCTTACTTGTAGTAGTATTCGTCTTCTTAGTTTCCTTATTATTGCTATTACTGGTGTTGTGTTTCCTCTTCTTCTTCTTTCAGCACGTCCACCGCCCCCTGTCCCGCGTGCTGTTTGATCTGCGGCGCCCTGGGTCCAAGTTGCGGTGGAGCTGCAGCGGGGCGGCTGTGAAGCGAAGTGGGCACAGCTGCAAAAGGAAGGCAGGGGGGGAAAGGGGAGAAGGCCGCGGGCGGCTGAGGATCCCTCAGAGCGTGAAGCACTTCGGGTGGTGCCGGAGCAGGCTCGAGATCCGTCCGCGCACATGCCTCGGGCCATAATTTGCGAACCCCCTTATTGGACGCCCCGCTCGCGCCGGCTCGGTTCGGCGGCTGCTGCGTCGCTGCTGCGTCGCTGCTGCGTCGTCGCGCGCCTCGGGGCCTCCTCCTCATCCTCCCCCTCCTCGTCCTCCTCCTCCTCACCCTCCACCCCCTCCTCCTCCTCCTCCTCCTCCTCCCTCCCTCCTCCCACCTCCTCCTCCTCCTCCTCCTCCTCCTCCCTCCTCCTCCTCCTCCTCACCCTCCTCCTCCTCCTCCCTCCTCCTCCCTCCTCCCCCCCCCCCCTCCTCACCCTCCACCCCCTCCTCCTCCTCCTCCTTCCCCTCCTCCCCCTTCTCCCCCTGCCCCTCCTCCGCCTCCTCCTCCCCCTCCTCGTCTGGACCTGCCCTCGGGGTGCGCTCTGCCCAGAGCTATACCCTCGGGGTCCGCTCTGCTGAGGCGGGCGCGCTGCCTCGGCCGCGCCGGCCGCCGCGGGCCGGCGGCCGCTCGGCGCCGACGCGCGCGCGGCCGCGGGGGCGGCCTCGGCGGCGGGGTGCCACACGCCGGTTTGGCGGCTGGGCCCCGCGCCGTCGGGGGGAAGCGGCCCGGCGGGCCTGCCGCGAGCTCGCGGCCGCGGCCCCGCTGTCGGGCATGGCAGGGCCCTCCTCCTCTCCTTCCTCCTCGTCGACCTCCCCCTCCTCCCTCCTCCTCCTCCTCCTCCTCCTCCGACCTCCTCCTCCTCCTCCTCCTCCTCCCCTCCTCCTCCTCTCCTCCTCCTCCTCCTCCTCCTCCTCCTCCTCCTCCTCCTCCTCCTCCACCTCCTCCTCCTCCTCCTCCTCCTCCTCCTCCTCCTCCTCCCTCCTCCTCCTCCCTCCTCCTCCTCCTCCTCCTCCCTCCTCCCCTCCTCCTCCTCCTCCTCCTCCTCCTCCTCCTCCTCCTCCTCCTCCTCCTCCTCCTCCTCCTCCTCCTCCCTCCTCCTCCTCCTCCTCCTCCTCCTCCTCCTCCCCTCCTCTCCCTCCTTCTCCTCCTTCTCCTCCTCCCCTCCTCCTCCTCCCTCCTTCTCCTCCCCCATCCTCCTCCCTCCCTCCTCCTCCCTCCTCCTCCTCCTCCTCCTCCTGTGGCGGCCCTCGGGCAGCCGGCGCGGCCCAGGGGGGTCCGCAGAGGGGGCGGGGGCCTTCGCGGGAGGCTCAGGCAGCTCAGAAGGCCTCCTGGGGTCTGGACGCCCGAAATGGGTACGGAAAAAATGGGTACAATGCCCAACAGCAGTTCGCTGCTCATTTTGAACAGGACTCGCTGTCCGCGCCGCCGCGGCCTGTGTCCATTCGAGACAGGAGGCCGCCTGCCCAACAGCGGCCGCTGTTGGTTTGGGACAACATTTGTTGTTGGGCATTGTACCCATCCTTTCCGTGCCAATTTCGGGCGTCCAAACAGGTAAGGTTAGGTCGGGCCTGTTCCCCTACAGGGAGATTTTGGACGAAACATAAGAAATCCCCAAAACATGTTCAAAAGATGCCCCCAACTACTAAAAAAATGTCCCCTTTTTTCCACTACTGTTGGATAGTCCCCCTGAGAGGGACAAGCCCGACTTAAGGGTAAGGAGACCCGGTCAGTGGTAGGGCCCCGGAGCCCCTGAATTGGCCAGGATCACTAAACCAGGTCTGCCGTGGCTGGTGTTTTTTCGGGTGGTGGCAGTTCCGGTCAGTGGAACGGGGCCTCCGGGGGGGGGCGTCCCCCAGAACACATTCTTAAACCAGTTCCCACTAAGCCCAGTTCTGCCAACGCCCGACCTTTGTCGGAGGAGGACAAGATACCGTTGGTACTGCTCCTCGAGCGTGGCTTCGTGGCCCTCCCTCCTCCTCCTTCTCCTCCTCCTCCTCCTCCTCCTTCTCCTCCTCCTGCCTCCTCCTCCTCCCTCCTCCTCCTCCTCCTCCTCCTCCTCCTCCTCCCCCCTCCTTCCTCTTCCCTCCTCCCCCCTCCTCCGCCTCCGCCTCCTCCGCCTCCGCCTCCTCCCTCCTCCGCCTCCTCCCTCCTCCTCCCCCCTCTTGCGCCCCCTCCCTGCCCTGCGTGGAGCACGACCCCCGCCTCGTCGACAGCCTCGAGCTCGAGCTCCCTCTGCTCCTCGGGTGCCCGCGCGGCCGCCGCGGGCCGTCGCGCCCTCCTCTGCGCGCGGGGTGTGCCCGCGCGGCGCTGGCCCTGGCCAGGCCTTCGCGGCGCCCTGCTCGCTGCAGTTACAGTGGGGGCGCGCATCAAGAAACCATCTGCTTTTCGTCAGGGTACCCTGGGTTTCTTCGCTCCTCGCGCTTCGCGATGACTTTCCGCAGCCGTTGAAGGATCTGCTGCGTTCAGGGTGCTCCAGGTTTCCCCTCAGGTGCACCTCGCGCACGGGTTCTCAGGATTGGGTTTCTTGCGAGGGTTTCTTGCGGCCGCGCCCGCACTGTAAGCCGGGCCTGTCCCCCTACAGGGAGATTTTCGACGAAAACAGTGGGACTAGTTTTTGAGTGTTTTCCTGACCATGTTGGAGCATTTTGGGGGTACTTTTTTTTTCGTCGGAAATCCCCCTGTAGGGGGACACGCCCGACTCAAGGCCAGGCTTTCGCGGCGCCCTGCTCGCTACAGGCGGTCGGCGTCGAGCAGCGGCGCAGCGTCCTGGCTTGCTTAGAGGCCTACCGCAGGATGTCCTGAGAACCTTTTGTGGTTAGCGCGGCACGTGGTTAGAGCACTTCTGGCTGAGGCTGTCTTGCTTTCACCCTTCCGGCTCCAGCTTCTCAGCACATAGTGGCTTGTCCTTCGATGCGTTCCGTTGCAGGCCTGTAGGACTGCCGGGACGGTCGGTCCCTGCTGAAGATCACGTACCATTGGTGCTCCTCGCCTCCCTGATCATCGCCCTGTTCGGGGGGGTCTGCCGCTGTCGTTCGCCCAGGGAGGGGGGGGGCTGCACGGCCGCCCCTGCTGCGCACTGCTTCCGCGCGAGCTCCGCCGAGAGACGGGGCGTGGGCGGGAGATTTGGTGGCGGGAGCCCGTGCCCCCACCCTTCCCTCGTTTCCCTCCTTTTCGGCCTCGTACGAGGCCCTCGTCGCCACTGCTCACCACCCACCAAGCCACCCCAACCCAACCCGAAGGCTCAGATTTACCCTCGATTTCCAGTGGGGGGGAGGGTCGGGAAGCATCGAAAACAGAGTGGGAACCCTTACCCCCCCAACCCGAAATTCGGGTCTTCGGGATGGGTCGGGGTGGTCTGGTAGGTAGTCAACTGCTGGATCCGCTTCGACATTCTGGTCAGAACGCACCCCAGGAGAGGGCCATGGAGTAGCGGTAGCAGTACCTCTGCGATTCCTTCTTGCCCCCCCCCCCCCGCGGAGGCCCAATTTCGTGGAGAGCGCCAAGAAGACCGTCAACGACATGAGCAGGGACGGCGTCGGCAGGCCCGCCGTCGCCACGAAGCAAGCGGCGCGGCGCCTGACTCTGCGCACGAAAGGTCGTTTTTTGTGCGGTGGCAGCTCATGGGAGCACTGGTATGTCCTTGCAATGGCGCCTGCAGGGTGTTTTGCGTGCGCGCGCGTCTGGTAATCGATGAGCCGCTGGTTTCGCATCGGGCAGTGCAGGTTTAGCGTGGGCTGGGGTAGGCTAGCGTCTGCCAGCATCGGTCCGCAAAGACCCAGCAAGATGGCATGGGGCGGGTCCATGAGTTACCACAAAGGTGTCCTGGGGGACGAAATCCTGAGGTGTGTCACCGTTTCTGGGTTTCCAGGGTTTTCCAAGGACTCTGGGGCTGGAGGGGTTAGGAGCAGGAGAGCAAACTGTCGAGCCACACGGGCGGCTCGGGCGGGCGGGCCCAGACGGCCGGGTCGAGCGCGCGGGCCGCGGAGGCAGCAGTCCCACATCAATCGCGGGGACATCATCTCGTGGAAACCCAGAGCGAAATCGTGATTCCCGATTGTAAAAGGGCGATGCGTCTCAACAAATCGCGAGGACGTCCCACGCGTGAGCGCGATCCCTGGAAGCATTGTGAGGCAGTCCCGCGCGGGAGCACGATTCTTTCTTCAATAGACCTGTGAGGGAGTATCAGGCGGGAGCCGTTATTGGTGTAGTTCGGGGGCCAGCAACCCATTCTGAGGTTCAATTCTTCCCTCGCACTAAGCAGGGTGCGAGCCCCGGCAGAAACGTCGTGATTGAAACCATGCAAGATGATACGGACGCGCGGGCAATAATATGTATTCGGTAGATATGAAAATGCAGCAGCACCACCAAAAACAACAGCCGCCCTCTTCGACCTCGACCGTATCTCCCTTGGGGGCAAGCTTGTTTTCTTGACCTGCCACGCGTAGCTGGCGCAGCCTCAAAAACACGGGAAGGGAGGGGGGAGGGACGGACAAACGGGGAGGGAGAAGGATGGAGCACCGCACGAGAGAGGTCACCAGGAAAGGATAAGGAGTCACCAGCCACCAAACCACCCCAACCCAACCCGTAGGCTCCGATCTGCCCTCCACTTCCAGTCGGGGGGGGGGGGTCGGGGAACATTGAGAAAAAAAACGCGTGGAACCCGTACCCCCCCCCACCCCCCAAACCCGAAATTCGGGTCTTCGGGTTGGGTTGGGGTGGACTGGCAGGTAGTCGGGGAGCGTGAGAGCAAGCGGCACGACGACACGGGCGAGGCGGGCGGCGCGCACCTCGACGGACGGGTCCAGCGGGCGGGCCCAGGCACGGTTTCGGTCGAGCGCGCGGGTCGCTCAAGCGTCAACTCTTCCTCCTCCTCCTCCTCCTCCTCCTCCTCCTCCTCCTCTGCATGGTCTCAAGCGATTGCGCGATGCCCAAGTGCACCGTGAGGAGGTCCAGAGCGAGAGCCTGATTCTTGAGTGTCGAGGGCTGGGCGTCATAATGAGTTAGTTGTAGAGAGGCTCCGCTCGCGGGCGCGACTCCTGCATGAGTGGAGCCCCGCGCGGGAGCACGACTGCGAATGAGCTGAGTGGAAGTATTGGGCGTGAGCCGTTGCAGTTGTAAAGCCCGTGTTGAGGGCCATGTTGTATCTTGTAAGAAACAGGGAGCGAGTCAAGGGATGGGCACGTCAATCAAGATAGCGCCATGGGCTCCGCAGGGGGGGATCATCAATACATGGTCTGGAGAAGTGAGACATCAACCATGCTTCTCGGTTGATACGTCTTCACAAAGTATTGAAAAAATCGCGCTCTCGCTTTTGACCCCCTTGCCACTTACATACAAACGAATTGCGCTCTCGCGTGGGACGTCCTCGCAATGTCTTCAGGCGCCGCGCCTTCGACACTCAAGAACCACGCTCTCGCTTTAAACTTCCTTAAGGTTCACTTGGGAATCGCGCTATCCCCCGAAATGTGTTCTGGTCGCCTTCCTCTTCCTGTTTCAGAGGTTGCTCGGAGATCGAGACGGCGGGTATCGAGGGTTTGGGATAGAGATGTTGATTGACACGTGAGCAGATAAGAGCGAACCGTCTTAAACTGATTGTTTGCGGGGCTCGCCCCCAGCTGTTTTCAAGGGACAGTCTTGCGCCTCAGACTGTGCCCTGGTCCCCGGGCGCTCACCTGAGGCTTCCTCACAATTCATTCATCAATCGCTTTCTCGGCGATCTGGCATTACCCTCTCGCTCGGGACCCCCTCATACTTTACTCAGAAGCCGCGCTCTGGCCTGGAGCTTCCTTGCCGTCTCCTCTTGCCAATCCCTGTTCCTGCTCCCTCTCATCATCCATCTTCTCCCGTTATCCCGCTTGCCCCCTTCCCCTCTCCATCCTTCCCTCCGCGCCCTTCATCCACGCCCCCCATTGTCCATTGATGTTGCTCCCCCTGCGTTTTTAAAAGGCTGCGCCACTGACACGAGGCAGGGAAGGAAGACGCCTCCTGTCGTGTGCCCATGCCGTTTCCTCAGTCGGAGTGCCTCTCCCGGGCCCGCCCTCCTGTTGTTCGGCAAAGGGAGAGCCCTGCGCCTCGTAGTCGCTCGTTGCCCCCCTGGTTGATACTAGAACTGCTATGCAGAAATCCTCCTCTTCCTCCTCCAACTCCCCCCCCTCCTCCTCCTCCTCCTCCTCCTCCTCCTCCTCCTCCTCCTCCTCCTCCTCCTCCTCCTCCTCCTCCTCCTCCTCCTCCTCCTTCCCATCGTTGATCCCACAGCCTATACAGAAGTCTTGCTTCCCTGCGACCTAGAACCGCGCTCTCGCCCGAGCCGTCCTCACAACTCAGCACACGTCGATTTCGTAGCGCTCTGGCATTGCTCTCTCGCTCGGGACCTCGTCATCTACTCTACTTAAGATGTGCGCCCTCGCCTGCGGCATCCTTGCCGTCCCCTCTTGCTACTCCTTCTCCGAAATCCCCCGCGTCCCATTTTTCCCTCCATCCCTTCCTCCAGTTCCTTGCTCCTGGTTTTCTCCCTTTTCTATTATTTCTGTGTTTCCTGTCGTAAGGGCTGTGCCACTTCCACGCTTCAGGGGAGGAAGCTATACCCCCCAAAGGGGGTACGATCAAAGACAAACGGCTTTGGTATCGAGGGTGTGGGCTATACATGTAAAATGGTACGCGAAGATGTAATAAAGAAACCGTATCACAATGTTTGTTGCTGTTGGTGTTGAATTCTGATTTCTATCCCAAAGAACGAGTATTGTTGACCCCCCGGCTCTGGTGCCCATAGCTCGTTTTCCCAACCATCATGTGGTGTTGGATCTTCGTTTGAACGAGACAGTGCCCCGCGTCACGTTCCCCGCCTTCCTCCTCCCCTTCCTCCTCCTCTTCCTCTACAATTGCACAACATGGATATTACTCTCCTCTCACCTGAGTCTGTGCAGAAGATGGCCGCACCGTTCCGAGAATTTGTTTTTACACGGGATTGTTGGGAGTTTGGTTTTCATTTGTGTTTTTGCTAATCCGATTATCTTCGGTCCTTCTAAAGGTTGTTCCCGTTGCAGCCCTGGCCCCATTTCTGCGCCTCTAGTCGTTCCAAGTCGTGCTACCGCTGCATCGTTTTCAGGAAGGATCAGGCCGGAGCCCCTTTCTGTTTTGAGAAGGCGATGCCGCTACCATTGAGTCCTCTGGTGCCATGCCATGGCGTGCAATGCGCTGCTGTGTTCTGTACCGCTGTGCGATGCCATGATTGGCGTTGCTCTGCTTTGTGAAGCAATTCTCCGCTACGGAATTCCACGCCATGCATTCACAAGGTATGTTCCGCCGTTCGCTTCCCGCCATTCTATGCCGTGGTCTACCATCCATCGCGTACCTGCTCGGAATCGCTGTTTTGCTCGGCATTCGGTGGTGCGAAAAGAGATGGTATCTGCGCCATGGTATGGGATGGGAGGGAGTGGTATGACTTCAGGTGTTACGCGAGCGCACCTAGCTTGCATCCTCCCCCTCCTTCTCCTGTCTCTGCTTTCCGCGTGCCCATTTCGGCACACCCTTCACACGACGTTCCTTCCATCTCACCCGCTCTCCATTCTCGAACCTATCCTCCTCGTGCACCCCCCATTCCTTTGCCGCTCTCTCCTTCTCCTCTGTCCTCTTATATGTTCAACGACTGTCCGCCTCTCTCCCCTAATCAGGTTCCGCGTGCCTGATGAACTCCCGCGCGTTGCTTTTCCAAGTCAGAATCCCCCCATCGTGGATTTCCAGTGTGTGTGTGTGTGGATTCGCTATCGGGATGGCCAGTGGTTGTGGTTCGGGATGGCGCTCTGACCCCGGCGCATGCTGCATTTCTTTCATTTCACACCTTATTCGGTTGCGTGCGACGGGGGGCGTGGTCAGCAAGGCGGCATGACTCGAGAGGCGCATACGCCATTTCGCCGCCCCCCCCTCCGAAATGAGGACGGACAAATGTACTATGTGTTCAATGGGTTGCGCCCGATTGTGCTAAAAAGCGCACGGGTATAACGAGGCTCGACGTGATGCCAGGAGGAAGCAGTGAGGCAAGAGGCTGCCGTCGTGCCCTGTGCTGGGGTCCGCGGTGGGGCGGCCCCGACTCGTGGCAGGCGTGGCGCGCATGGCTCTTTAGGGGCAGGTGCCCTTTCGCAAGCCCTCCTGCCTGCTTAGTGTGCTGGGCATGTATTCCACAACCACCACCATACATTGGAGGGGGAGGGGTTCCTCCTCCCCCTCTCCTTCCTCCTCCTCACCCTCCACCCCCTTCCCCCCTCCAACCCATGGTGGTGGTGGTGGAAAACAGGCCCATATAGTGAGCCGCCCTCCTCACCCCGCCCTCCTTGACGTCGCCCTCCCCGCCCTCCTCGCTGCCAGCCGACAGCTGCTCGGCACGAGACCGCTCCTCCTCCTCCTCCTCTTGGTCTCCTCAGCGCCTCCCATTGCTCGGCGGAGCGTCGACCACGTTTGCGCGAGCGCCTGTTGATCTGGGACGGTGCTGTCTTGTGCCTGTGTGATTGTGTGCGTGGTTGGGTGGGTGGCTTGCAGACTTGCCGCGGTGTCTCACACGGAAGCCACTTCGTGGAGATCGCGTGCCGCCACCGTGCACCCGTCGTTGGGAGTCGGCGGCGCGTCCGAGGACATTTGTGTGTGTGTGTGTGTGCGTGTGTGTGTGTGTGTGTGTGTGTGTGTGTGTGTGTGTGTGTGTGTGTGTGTGTGTGTGTGTGTGTGTGCGTGCGTGCGTGCGCGCGCGCGCGTGCGTGCGTGCGTGCGTGCGTGTGTGTGTGTGTGTTTGTGTGTTTGTGTGTGTGTGTGTGTGTGTTTGAGTGCGGCGGCATTTTCGGTAATCTGGGAACTGTGCTTGTTCTGTTTTGTGGAGGCTTTATTCTCCCCACGTGAGCACTTCTCTCCCAAAGCCTCTGACGTCGTGTCCCTTGTGCACGGCGCGGGCCTCCTGGAGCTGTGGATCGTCGACCCTCCACCTTTGAACCATGATCCTCGACTCTCGATCCCGAATCCTTGGTCCTCGATCGTCTACGCTCGACCCTACAGGACCCCGATCCTCGACTTCTTGATCCTTGAGCCTCGATCCTGGATCCCTGCACCTCGACCCCCGATCTCCCAACCCTGGGCCCTCGAGCCCTCGGGGCCTCCAGCCTCGACCCCCGGGCCTCGAAGCCCGAGGCTCCAACCCCGACCCTCGACCCCTGACCTTCCAGGAGGGCTCACAGAACAGCACCAGGACGTCGACGTCCTGCTTCTTGGTCGAGGGTCTGAGGCAGTCCAGAAGATAGATCTACAGGTCTGGAGTGCTAGTTTTTTAGCTGGACGGTCAGGGTTCCCCCCCCCCCCTCGCCGCCGAACGCCCGGGCTCCGGCTCGTGGGCACCAGGAGCGGCCTCCAGCCGCCGACGTGCCGTGGGAGCCTCCGCCCAGTCTTGCCGCGGCGCCTGGCACGCGCGCTGCCTCCCGAGGCCCCCCCCCCTGCGGGCCCGGAGGCGCCCGAGGGGCAGCTCGGCGAGGGAACTCTGGCTCAGGCTGGCCCGAGCGGCTCCCGACGCCTCTCGCTCTCTGTGTGATCGTGCACCGCGCCCGCTCCCCGCCCGCCATGTCGAGCCACGGGGTCCAGGGCACGCACCCGGTGCCGGCGGCGGCGCCGAGGATGGCCAGGCGCCTGCGCGCGCGGCTCAGGCAGGCGGACGAGCGCTCAGCCTGCGCCGCCACCGACGCGACGGACTTCCAAGAAGAAGCCAAGCGCAAGAGACAAAGACATACCGTCACCCCCTCGCCCGCTTTCCCCCTGTTCGGGCCTCCTGGGAGGCCATCGTCGCCACCGCTGGATTCGCCTCGAAGTCCTGGTCAGAACGCACCCCGGGAGGGGCCCGTCGGGGGCAGAGGTATCGGCATCTGCTGGTTTCTCCCCAGGACTCCTCGGGTGACTCCGTGGACACGCCCAGGGACCTGGTGGACGCCTTCTCCCGTGGCTCGGTGAACCACCACAAGGGCCAGTGCACGCCGTGCCGCAGCAACGGGAGCGGCGCTCCGTGCCCGCGCGGCGCGAGGTGCGATTGCTGCCACTTCTACCACGGGCCGGAGAAGTTCCTCGCCATGAAGCGCTTCGCCGCCAAGCCGAGGCAGCAGCACCGCACCCGCGCGGATCCGGAGGGCGGGTGGCCCACCGCACCCGTCGTCTGTGAGGCGCCGCGGCCGACGCAGCAGCACGAGAAGGCGTGCGCCTCCGGCTGGCCAGGGACGTTCCTGCCAGCCGTGGGGGCCGCCATCGGTCACCTGAGCCCCCAGCAGCTGGAGGCGGTGCTCATGGAGGCGGCGCCAGACTACTACGAAGACTGACGTGGGCGCGCGGTGGCTTTACGCAGGCCGCCCGCGATGGTCGCCCCGGCAGCGGTGCGCGCCGCACTCGCGCGCGCGTGTCCAATGACACAGATCGAAGAAGAAAAAGCACCATAAGCATGAACTTTTGGCGCTCTGCGCGGATTTCTTGGATCCGCGTTGACCCCTCCCCCCCCCACTCTGGCGGCGATTTCGGCGCCGCCCCTGGCGCGCTCCGCGCGACGGGGAGGCGGGCCCAGCGCGGATCCAAGGAACCCGCGTGGAGCGGTAAAAGTGTATGTTTATTGCGTTTGTTCCCTCACCATCTTTGGTGTCGCGAGCATCACAGAGCAACGTTTCGTATTTTCACTTAGACAAGCAGGTATCAGCCAATACATCGACGCCAACTCAGCAATCCCCTAGTCTGCGGGCTTGCTGACTCATGGCTCCCACTGCCAACACCTTCGCGGCATGTGCGTATAGTCTTCGGCCCTGCTTGGGGGGCAGCTCGCTTGTTACACGAAACATGCGATTGCTACCCCGTTCTTGAGTCACAGACTCTTGTCCTGGTGCCTGTAGCCTCGGGTGCCACGACTTGCTTTGAGCCTGGGTGTCGCCAGCAGTGTCCTTGGCCCAAGGTGCCCATCCAGGATTTCTGTGGAGGCCCCTGCGGCCTACAGAGCACCCCGCACGATGCCCAGAGGTCCCACAGTGACGAGGAGCTGGAGACGCCTGGGGCCAGGGGCACCGTGAGCGACCGCCGTGGAGCAATTGGGTGGAGGTGCTGGCTAGAGGGTTTCTCCGAAGGGCTTAGGCGACCCGTCCTCCTCCTCCTCCTCCTCCTCCTCCTCCTCCCCTCCTCCTCCTCCTCCCTCCTCCTCCTCCTCCTCTCCTCCTCCTCCCCCTCCTCCTCCATCTCCTCCCCCCCCTCCCCCTCCCCTCCATCTCCTCCTCCCCCTCCCCCTCCTCATTCTCCTCCTCCATCTCCTCCTCCTCCTCCTCCTCCTCCTCCTCCTCCTCCTCCTCCTCGGGTCGCCTACTGCCCCGGGGTAAAGCGTGCAGTGCAGGCACAGTTGTCGACCAACAGTGCTGGTTTTTCGGGGTCCGGAGCCGTCGCCTTCGGCGAGGGCAGTGAGGGAAAGGCTTCAGTTCGGGCTGCCCCCGCCGCCCGAGAGAGGGAAGTTGCGTGGAAGATGATCCCATTGAGCGCACGAGCGCTTCGTTTTTGCAGCTCGCCTGCCGTTCTTGAGTCCGCGAGGCGCACAGGGAGCGAGTCTGATCCCCGCAGTGGCGGTCGGACGAGGGCAGGAGGAGTGGGGGAGGAGGAGGATCGGAGGAGCGTCATTCGAGACAACGGCATGGCTGTCAGCAGCACCCACAGAAGGGATGCCTGCTCGCCCAGAGAATGGATACTCTCGGGTTGCTCGCGCAGCCCGAGAGAATGAAATCGTGTCGAGAGGTTCATGCCATTGAGCGGATGGAATCCAACACCAAACTCCGCACATCCATTTGGAGCGCTCAATATGTGTTGCCAGGGCAGTCGACACGCGATAGTGGACGTCGACAGAGCTCAGAGGGGGATGCGTGCTGGCCTGTTGTCTGGGATACTGCGAGGCGCACTCTCCGAGCAACTCCGGTCCCAGTGCGGCGGTCAAAGGAAGACATGAAGAGGCAGTGAGGAGGAGGAGGAGGAGGAGGAGGAGGACCTCCGAGAGGAGGAATAGGGCGGATACGAGGAGGAGCGATCGTGTCAAGTTTTTCCTCGAGCTCTGGCGAGTGCCCTTCTCGTGGGCTGGCATGCTCTGTAGCTCCGTTGCGGATGCGCCGACCGCCGAGACCGCCCCGCCAGCGTTCGCGCCAAGGTCATGGGCGCGGCACGTGACTTGCTTCCTGGCTCCAGCTAGGATTAAAACCCGCACGCCAGCCAACGTATCACCTGGTCGTGTGCCCGGCCCGTGCTGCGTATGCGCAGCTGGGGCGCCTGAAGAGTAGAGGCTGGAGAGGGGGGGGTGGGGGCGGTGTTCGCACATCATAGAGACCCGTGGGGGTAAGAGGAGTGGGAGCAGGAGAACTGCTGGGACATCTATGTCTCTCCGTCTCTTCGTGGACAGGCGTACCTTCTGCCATCGCTTTGAGCACGACAGACTGAGATCGAGGCGCTGGCAGAGATGGGCAGTGAGGCAGCTGAGCTCGATGCTCGCAACCTCAGGCTCCAGTCTCGATCGAAGAAAGTGGCCAGGCTTCCTCATGTGCCAACACGGCGCACATGGCTCCAGTTCGGGCTGCTCTCGCCGCCCCACACAATGACTTTTTCGCCTGGGAACGTGCTCTCACGGAGCGCATGGGACCCCTCACCCAGTAGTTTCTCAAGTCATCGAGGCGCATGCCGAATCCGATCCCCAGTGTGGCGGTCTGAGGAGGACGGAAGGAGGAGGAGGGGGAGGGAGGAAGATGAAGATGCCAGCGGAGACGACGTTCAGACGGCGCGCGAACTGCCAAGCTCGACCTGCCGTGCAGGTTTTCTTCTGGCGGCTCCAGTTCGGGCTGCCCCTGGCGCCCCAGAGAGGGAGATCGCGTGGAGGATCTCATTTTAGCGCCTTGGATCCGACACCCAGCTTCGCACATCCGTGCGTAACGCTTCGTTTTTTGCAGCTCGCCTGCCGTTCTTGAGTCCGCGAGGCGCACAGGGAGCGAGTCTGATCCCCGCAGTGGCGGTCGGACGAGGGCAGGAGGAGTGGGGGAGGAGGAGGATCGGAGGAGCGTCATTCGAGACAACGGCATGGCTGTCAGCAGCACCCACAGAAGGGATGCCTGCTCGCCCAGAGAAGGGATACTCTCCGGTTGCTCGCGCCGCCCAAGATAATGAAATCGTGTCGAGGATTTTTTATGCCACTGAGCCGATGGAATCCAACACTAAGCTCCGCACATCCATGTGGAACAGTCAATATGTGTTGCCAGGGCAGTTGACACGCGATAGTTGCCGTCGGCAGAGCTCAGAGGGGGATGCGTGCTGGCCTGTTGTCTGGGATACTGCGAGGCGCACTCTCCGAGCAACTCCGGTCCCCAGTGCGGCGGTCAAAGGAAGACAGGAAGAGGCAGTGAGGAGGAGGAGGAGAAGGAGGAGGAGGAGGAGAAGGACCTCCGAGAGGAGGAATAGGGCGGATACGAGGAGGAGCGATCGTGTCAAGTTTTTCCTCGAGCTCTGGCGAGCGCCCTTCTCGTGGGCTGGCATGCTCTGTAGCTCCGTTGCGGATGCGCCGACCGCCGAGACCGCCCCGCCAGCGTTCGCGCCAAGCGTCGCGCCAAGGTCATGGGCGCGGCACGCGACTTGCTTCCTGGCTCCAGCCAGGATTAAAACCCGCACGCCAGCCAACGTATCACCTGGTCGTGTGCCCGTGCTGCGTATGCGCAGCTGGGGCGCCTGAAGAGTAGAGGCTGGAGAGGGGGGGGTGGGGGCGCTGTTCGCACATCATAGAGACCCGTGGGGGTAAGAGGAGTGGGAGCAGGAGAACTGCTGGGACGTCTATGCCTTTTCGTCTCTTCGTGGACAGGCGTACCTTCTGCCATCGCTTTGAGCACGACAACTGAGATCGAGGCGCTGGCAGAGATGGGCAGTGAGGCAGCTGAGCTCGATGCTCGCAACCTCAGGCTCCAGTCTCGATCGAAGAAAGTGGCCAGGCTTCCTCATGTGCCAACACGGCGCACATGGCTCCAGTTCGGGCTGCTCTCGCCGCACCACACAATGACTTATCGTCTGGGAATGTGGTCTCACGGAGCGCATGAGACCCCTCACCCAGTAGTTTCAAGTCCGCGAGGCGCATGCCGAATCCGATCCCCAGTGTGGGGGTCTGAGGAGGACGGAGGAGGGGGGGAGGGAGGAAGAGGAGGATGCGAGCGGAGACGACGCTTAGAAGGCGCGAGCTGCCGCCTTTAGGTGTGCTCCCACACGTGCTACTTATCAATCTGATCCGGCGGGGTGGAGGACGGGCTAGTCGGGAAGTGGTGGTGGGTTCATTCTCGCGGTGTGCATGGCCGTGGCGCTCCTTGCTCCGCTGGACTCAGGCATCTGTCCGAGTCAGGGCCTCGGGCTAGCCTAACGCGCGGCGGCGAATACCACAAGTCAAGGGCGTGGGGCACGAGGCATCGAGCCACGAGTATGTTTTCTTAGTTAGCTGCCCTCTTTTGTCTGCCCAGCCGAGACGCAACGACGTATCGAATGGCCATCGGCACATTCCGCCACCTGACCTGGGCCGTTGGTCAGAGGCTTTTGTTGATGCCTCCCAGGATCTCTCGGGATGCCTCTCGGGGGCCTGGTTTTTGGGCTGGTTGGGGGCCTCTTGGCATGGTTCCTCTTGGAACCCTATTGGGGCGTCCTGGTGGAGCTTCGTTGGGGCATGTTCGCCGTGGTGCACACGCACTGCGGTGCACGCAGAAGCGCTACCATTTCCTGCCCGCCCCATTCCTCCACATTATTTTTTGCATTCTTGTTTACTGGCGCCGTGGTGCACGCAGGGGGCATGGCGTGCACGGACGTCGTGTGCTCAAAGTGCACAAGAAAATCAACTATAGCCGGAGTTCAGTATCCCCAAGCAGGGTTTTTAGACCCACTGCGGTTTCCAAGGTCGATTGCGTGTCCGTCCAGTGCGGGCTGGCATGGCATGTTAAAACATGCCTCCTCCTCCTGCTCCTCCTCCTCCTGCTCCTCCTCCTCCTCCTCCTCCTCCACCTCCTCCACCTCCTCTTCAACCCGAACGGCATCTCGGAGCCCAGAGTTGCGAGGATGTCTCCAGCGTAACGGGCTGGACCACCTCGCGCGCGGCATCTCGGACCCCAGAGTTGCGACAATGTCTCGGGCGAAACGTGCTGCGAGGAAGTCTCAGGCGAAACGGGCCGGACCACCTCGAGCGCGGCGTCTCAGAGCTCCGAGTTGCGGGGGCCTCCTGGGGCCTCCTGGGACCTCCTGGTGACCTCCTGGGGCTTCCTCCTGGGCCTCCTGTGGCCTCCTGGACCCCACCTGGGGC